TGTGTCGGAAGCGTTTCTCTGGCAGAGGGAATCTCCCAACAGAACTGATTGTGTGTTTCGGAATCTCTCTGCGTTGACATTGTAAGCAGCTTTGAGTCCATCGCTTTATATCTGAGTTAATCTTTGGTCACACGAAACGTTCAGTATTCAACTTAGTTGTAGCTCTGATTCCTGAATGTGAAAGTTCGTGCAGTTTCCGGAATACCTGACGTTGACAGGCTTGAGGGGCGATTGCTGCCCGCTGAAACGTCGGAAATAATAGATGCGTTAGAGGAAGAAACAGGTACGTGTCTGAGTATCAAGTTAGACTTATCTTTGCAGCTTTTTATGTGTGCGTCGTCTACTTGTAATTTTGCGATTGTTTCCAGATCAATGTCTTGTTTACGTACCAAGGTATAAACATCCTTTCGTGATAACGCGTCGGCTACGACGTCAGTGTGTCCTTTGGTAAATTGGATATCTGTTGTAAATTGAGAGATGTAACCCAATTGCCGTTCTTCTCGCGGTGAATGTCGGTCGTACGAAGTGTTGAATGAATAACATAAAGGTTTATAATTGGTCATGTTAGCAAAAGTTCGCCCTTATAGTAAGAAGTTAGTGTTTGACGGCTAAATAAATAGCGAGTAACTCTCGTCCGAAAGTATTATAACGTTCCTGAGCTGGTGACAGCCTCTTGGAGAAGAACGCTATGGGAGTGGTCACGTTGTTTACCTGTTGTTGCAATACTGCCCTGACGGCTTTTTGAGATGCATCCGTACACAGAATCAAGTGGGTTGTGGGGTCAGAATTTAGGTGTTGAAGCATAGTGGCGTTAGCTATCATGAACTTCACTTTCTCTCATGCCGTTTTGGCGTCAGGAAGTAGCTTGAATATTCGATTCTTTTCCTTTTTCGTACCTTTTTTGTCACTTTTCAGCATGTCAGTTAACGGCTGTAAAACTTCTGCACATAGTAGGAATCGGCGGTAGAAATTGCACGTTCCGAGAAAACAGCGTAATGAATTTACGGAAGTTGGCTCAGGGTAACTGATAATAGCTTCAACTATCTTTTGAAGGGGTTTAATGCCTTGAGAATCAATGTAACGTCCTAAAAACTTCAAGGCTGTGACGCCGAATATACGATTTGAAGGGTTGATAACAACGCCATGTTTCTTAAAACGTTCAAAGAGGACCTGAAGGTGCTGGAAATGTTCTTCTATTGATGAACTAGAGATCAGAATGTCGTCGATGTAGGCAAATACGAAATCTAAACCTCTTGTAACAAAGTCCATGAATCGTTGGAATGTCTGGGTGGCATTTTTTTAGTCCGAATGGCATTATTAGGAACTCAAACAGACCAGAAGGTATAATGATGGCTGTTTTTTCGATGTCTTCTGGTGCCATCGGAATTCGGTGGTATGCACGCACAGGTTCGAGTTTCGAGAAGATACATTTACCGTGTAAGTTTAGTGAAAAATCATGTATGTGTGGAATAGGGTACTTTTCAGGAATGGTTTGGTTATTCAGACGGCGGTAATCACCACAAGGACGCCAGTCTTGCTCTTTTTTTGGTACCATGTGCACTGGTGAGACCCAAGAACTGTTAGATGGCCTAATAATACCAATTCTCATCATGTGTTAAAATTCTCCCTCAGCCGTCTGCAACTTGTTTGGTGGTAGTCTCCTCGCCCTGGCGCAAATGGATGGATCGGTGGTACTAATGTGATGTCTCACATCATGTGGGTTGCATTCCTTTTGATAGTCTGCTTTAGTTATACACCCGTATTTAGTCAGGATATCTTTCAAAATGTTTTTCACAGGTTTCATTATTCGTACACCATGAATTTCATAGTCAGTGGGTGTACCGTTCACCTGCAAACGTGTATTTTCGTCAATCAAATTCCTTTTGCTCGTATCAACTAGTAAACTATAGGCGCTGGGCAAATCGGCCCCGAGAATTGGTTGCTTGACTTGGGCGACTATAAAAACACACGTAAATCTTCTACGGAGTCCGAGATCTAATATGAGGGATTGTTCACCGTAAGTTCTAATGACCATGTCGTTAGCCGCGATAAGAGACAGTTTGGTGCTTGTCGTTTGTTGTCATCGTGAGAGGTGAAGGGGGATGATGCTGATTTCTGCTCCTGTGTCGACCAAGACGTCTGAGCCAGAAATACGACCCCTGATGTGAAAAAGGCAGCTGGCGTGTTGGACGGTAACAGACGCCGCCATTACTGTCTGACCGGCCCGTTTCCCTGTTTTTCATGATTATTGGTTGTGAAGTTGCACGGTTGTGTGCAACGACGTGGTTTCTTACCATACTTCAGATGATACCAACATATTCCATTCGCGCCTTTAGGTGAACGAGGACGCTGTCTGGACACTGATCTTTTTCTTGAAATGGATTTATTCGGTCGTGAATGGATGCTCGCGAAAGTAGCTTGTAATGATGCTAACTGAGTTGTTAACTGCGTTAATTGTTGCTGGATGTTGAGTGTAGTGTTCGTATCGTCTTTACCGGAAGTTTGTATCGCATTTGGACAATGACTGTCAGGGTATATCTCCATCATCTTTCCGCCATATGTGCTAGGTCTTCTGCATTGACAGAGCTTCCCGACACACTAAGAATCTGTCTGACGCTATGTGATAGTCGCTGAAACCACATTTGTTTAAGTAATACTTCTGTAGGGAGCAATTTCCTACAGGTTTGATTCTGAGCTATTCTCTAGACCGTCGAATACAGAGTCTTGGTTTGGCCAAAGTCAGAACAAGCAAGCTATTTGGCTAGATAAACTTTATCTGTTTCTAAAACATAAATTAACATCGTTAGTGTACAAACAAACTGTACGGTCTATTAATACAGGGAAAAAACAGACAAATAACATACCGAACAGTAGCCAGAGAATAGGAAAAATGAGTCAACAAGCAAATATTGGTTTACAATGAACATTAAACTGTGATTGGTTAATAGAGATACAGTCGTACAAGGTCAAAAGGCGTAAATGTGGTGGTGGGCGTTTCCCTTTATTATTGGTGAGTTCGTCTATCGATCACATTTTACAACTTCATCTAAATTATATGGACCCGCTAACTGTTTCCTATGTCGAAGCAACTGCGACGGTCTCTTGTCCCCAAGTTCCCATGGTGTGAACAGTGGTTGTAGTAGTTTTTCACCAGAAAGTGATGTACGTTGGATTACGGCAGCTTTAATTTTATCATAAGGATCAGTCTCTGGTACATGGTCAATCAAATCCCCAACTTCTGTAACGATTTCGATGGGAAATGCGCCGACAACATAAACATATTTGGTCGCCTGGGAGCGTATGCTTTTCGCTAGGAATAAGGTTCTTACTTGTGCGAACCAGATCCTGGGGTTGTTGGCACCGTATGCCGTTAATCTAAACTCGGAAAAGGCACTGACTGAGCTTAAAATAATATCATCTGAATGTGATGAGTTGAGGGGTAAACTGTCAGCAGTTAACAGTGTGTCATGCTATGAAAGTAACACAACGGAAGGAAGTGTTCAAGGTCACACACTCAACCAAGACGTACAATCATTTAATGATAAATGTACATGCAGTGAAAAAAATTGACAGAATAAATACAAACAACATCAAAAACTATTTACAAAATTAGCTTGTCTGTTCGTGGCAAATGTAGAATCAAGTATTCTCGTCAGTTACATCAGACCATTGAATCGGCCTAGGTATGTGGGTGATGCCTTCGCAATCGTGTAAATGTTGTTCCACAGAGCTTTAACCAAACTGATCAACGCAATTGTGTTCAACATTAAATGAACTTACGAAAATAAAATGGAACACAGTCAGCTATCATTTTATGTTGGTTAGTTAAAAGGAGTCCTGGTAGAAATGTAATCTAACTACTTATCATAAACCAACGCACTCTATCGTTATATCGACTTCAATTCAGAGCACTCAATCAATGTAAAAATTCCCTCTAACTTTGTGTCTCTTTAGAAGGGCAAAAAAGATTATCGGATATGAAAAGAATAAGCGAAAGGCAAGAAAGTATATGGACAAGATTTTGCAGTTCAATCGTTTTCCGACAGGTATAATTAAAAATGAACTGAAACGAAATGGTTTATTATTAAGTAGCAATTTGTCAGAGATTCTATGTATTAGTACCATAGTTCCACCATGACGTCATGGTACGACAGAACTTCGATGTATCGTAAAACACCACATAATGGCATCATACTACAAAACAACAAACACACTTCAGTGTTAAAGTCAGTATAAAGGATAAGACGAGCTCTACCCCAACACAGAACTGTGTTCAAAGTTTAGTGTATGTCAGTGGTGATAATTTAGATATTGGATAATCACTTCGTGAACTACTGATTAGAGTCGAATACTGAAAACCTAATAATCCTGAAGAACTTGTAGAATTTCAAATTAAATCAACAACAGTAGTACATGCCATTTACATATTAAAATATCGAAATGGTGCAAACTGGTTCTTTTGATACCAACGATAGGGGATTTAGTGAAGTTCTCGAATATATGGCCAAATTCTACAACCCTCAGCAGAAAAAACTTTATCATCCATCCGACTTAGACTATCCATTATTAACATCATTTCTCACTCTGTTTACATCTAACACCATTATAATACAAACGAATTTAGGTCTACCTTTTCATATTGCAAACGCAACACACATCAACAAAGAAGTACCTCATATACAAACCTCAATGACCGAAGTGGGATGACAGTGGATAAGTCAGAATGGTTTATGAATGACTACACAAAACAGACTTTGTTACTCTGTAATATTTAAGCTTGGATTGATTCATTTCTATTTATTTATTCTTTAAGAGGCACTATACTTTGTGAAATTTAATTTTTCTACTCACTGAGACAAAACGGATACATTAGGTTTATCATGAGAAATTTACATAATGTGCACCCTATTTGGATTTATATGGTTAAACTTTGAAAATAATTTGTTGTGAGACAACTTGTTTGTATAATCTTGCTTCGGTGGCAGAATTTTAAACTCAGCATGGTAGGTTGTGTGTTGCTGTTGGGTATCTTTTAGACTAAAATACGGGCGTCAAAGCTACGTAATAAACCAGAGCCTGAACTACAGAAGCAACTTGGAGAGCTTAAGACGGAACTTGGCAATCTTCGTTTGTATCGGGTAACGAGAGGCGCATCCTATCATGGAAAATTGAGGAAAATGTAAGTTTTATTGCTACCAAGTGTTATAATAATCTCACTTTTAGCCGGACACTAAGAAAGTCCATTGCCCGTGTATATACAGTTATTCATCAGGCGCAAAAACTTCGCCAACGTGAAGCTTATCGTTCCAAGAAATACGTTCCCAAAGATTTGAGACCAAAGAAGACCAGAGCAATACGCAGAAGACTTAGTAAGAAAGAGCAGTCAATTCACTCTGCGCGTTCAATGCGCAAGGCACGTGCCTTCCCTCCACGTGTATTTGCTGTTAAGTGCTAAGTAATAAAAGTTTTGGTCAAAATCGGATCATGAAAGTGCTGTTTGATTTTACATAAGTTCCTTATATCCTGGACGCTAGATTCGTTAACATAAACTCTGTTGTAGTTTGCTATGTGTCGGCTGCATATAAACTTGTACTGACTTGTTATATCTATGCTCATAAGTACCATCCCTTATATATATATATATATATATATATATATATATATATATATATATATATACACGCATACTGTATGTCTACTTTAAAGTCTGGTTGAATACGATCCACAAACTGTTACTTATAAAATATATCAGCGAAATCTGACCAATCATCAGGGATGTGATTTGCGTCGACTGTTGTGATTGTAGTGTCAGTATTATTATAGTTACTGGTGGTTGATCGCAATACTTTCAAGAATAACGATTCAATTAATGTTATACCTTGATTGATAACTTATAGTCACTGAACACGCGGTCTGTATTGCTTGTTTTCATTTTGGATATCTGGTCACAACTATTGGGGTCTCATAGTGTTCATATTCGTCTGGCTTATTCAGCAGCTCAACTATCCATTCACGAGTGGAATAAACGTAAAAGCTTTTGGCTATAACAACTTTAAGATGTAAGTGGTTAAATTAGGCTGATCTGACAGTTTTTTGCTACTATGTATCTTGTGCTAGCAACTAGACAACTAAACGTTTACGCCTAGTAATTCTAAGTATCGGAGGCTGACTACTTTTCTTCATATGAAGTATCTGAGCTGTTTGTTCTTGCCTTTAGACTTCTGGCTGACGTATGACAGCAGATTGAACTTGTTCGGATTAATAATGATTAACATCCTTTATTATTCAACTAGAATCTCAACGTTTTTTACTGACCTAGAGATATTTTCCATACGGAAAAAATGGCTATCCATCTGTCATTAATCGTACTTTACAAACACGAATTTTCTCTTTATCAACTTGAGTTCTGGTGTTATCATTCGCCTGACCACACTAAAACTCTAAACATGTTGCATGTAACTTTAATCTTGTTTTTGTTCAGTTTGCGTATTAAATACTATGTACATATGATATCTATTACTAGTTTAACATTGCTTGTGCTTTGATGATATGTGCTGAGACCCCAGTTTGTTGTCAGTTGTAACAGGTTTCATTTCAGACTAGCTATAGTAGTAGTAGTAGTGTTTTTGGTAGGCGAATGAATGTATTCGGACAGTTCTGGTACTGTATCTTACGTCGCCTTGCTGCCTTATGAAGTGGATCTCAAAACATTGTTTACATTCTCTATTGCAATGCATGTCTGTGAACAGCTTGTTTTCATGTGACATGCACATTTTCGATTGCTATCAACGCACACTTAATTGTTAAAATTGGTTTCGTCCGGAAGATCCTATATCTCTTGAAGGTTGGTTTATGTTAGCTATCAATAGCCTATCTTTGTACCAGATGTGTTATCTGGATATGCTTTGTATTGAAGAGCATCATACAACTATACTGCGTGTAGTGTAGGTTACTTGAAGTTTCTAAGACGTGTACGACGTGTAAATTTGTGTTAGCTATAAACCATACTTCTGTGTCAGGTAGTAATAATATTCATTTGACTAAACTGAAGTTCGCGCATTGGGGAATGTTCATGAAGCCTTCTAAATGACTGAACTAAAGTGGTCGGTGTGTTTCAGACTTGGAAGCAGTCTTTGGACCTAGTAACCCTTGAAAACTATACCAATTTATTCACGCTACTAGCTGCGGGCTTGGCGGTTGTTAAACAATCTGCAGGACGCTAGTCGGCGTTTCCAAAGAAAACCCCGAACTCCAGACCGAACCTTGGTTCTCAGAGTTGTAAAAAAATTAGAATACTGAGAAATCAAAGGTCACTCGGTGTGAACGTCATGTACCAAACCTTTTCCAACGATCGATGCAAATTTCCTTACAGGTTTATAACAGACATTCGTAGATATTTTGTTATATCTCTCTTTTCTTACGGTTATGACCCAGCTATTCCTATTGCTTAGTATTCTCGGACACCGATTCACTCGACAAGTCCCCAAATCAAAACACGGTTGAACAGGATGAGATTATATTCCAAATAACAAGGTTAAATGCAAGTAAGAAGCGAGTCAGAAGCACAATAGGGAAAACGTCAGTATATATATAGTTTTTACATAAGAAGATTCCAGAGTATTCTCCGACTAGTGCTGATTGGATAAGAATTAGTTAATCAGCGTGCACCAAAGCAACCATGCATTGAGCATGCTTTAATCTAGTCTATGTCCCGCTAACATATTTGGTGACCGTCAATGCAGAAGACATTATCTTTTCATCGTTTATTATTCACATGAACGGTTCGGACAGTAAATGTTTGAACGTGTTCTTATGAGATGTCCCATCTATTATTAGAGTTTGCAGGTGAGTCATTCTATTCGACGTAGCTGACAAAATACTGGGTCATTTGGGCCCTTAGAATGGTCGTACAAGGTTTTAGATGGCTTTCTTTAGTGGTACGGAATGTTGCTTTAGAACTAATTTACGTCAGTAACTAAACTTACGTGATTTAAACTATCTGGACACTATTTCAACTCTCGTCAGCCCTGGTTGTTTGTTTTTAATAATGGATTCGAAAGATACCTTGATATTAACCAACTTTTATCACGTTGGGCATAGAATTGTTTGTTTGTCGACATATAAGGGAGGGTGAGACTCAACAGTCTTTTCTGTATTACTCTGGCTGTAGAATCTCCATGCGTAATTCGGTGTACAATGCTGATAGGAACAACTTTCATAAATGTTGGGGATCGCTAGGTTAAAATTGTGTTGTACTGAACCATGTTGGCTGGTAAACGCAGACCACTTTGTTGTCATAAACTTATTGATGACCAGTCAGTGGTCAGATATATTGAGTGATATGTCTCAATCAGCCGAAGGGGTGTTAATGAGTTCTTCTAGATGCTAAGTTCCAGCTTCTCTACCCATATACTGTTGTGTCTTTAAGTCCGGTTAGTTATCACGTGATTTATTCGCCAATCGAAATACGAATTAATCACTCTTGTACTGTGCTAAGTCAATGACGTTCGACTGGTCTTATCAACCTAGCGTCCTCATTGGTTATTTGCTCGCCTAATCCGTCCATCTGAGTCCAGAATATCAATAACAGCTTCCGCTATGGTAATCATTTCTCCAGACATACTTGGTTTATATACCAACCCATAAATAGGAAATAACATTTATACACAATAAAGCCAAAAAGTGGATGTGAACATGGAAGACAGTAATTAATAAACTGAGTATTAGTTAAGAACAGTAAGTTTTATAACAAATTTTAGGTCAAAATGAAGTTTATAAGATGAATATAGATATACACAGTCAAGTTACTGAATAGTTATACAATAAGAATATATGTAGAATATTGGTCCATTAATATATCTCTGAAGTCACTCGTAGTTTAATCTTCACTACATATATTCGTTTTTTTTCTGACCATCATTTGAATGTTCAGTCCTCACTATCATTCATACGATTATCATTTTGATTAGTGGTTCAAATGGTTGTGGACGGAATAGAAGAAGCTTTCGCTTAACAGGCTTCCGTGTCTAGTGGCAGGGGATCACGAAATCCTCCAGGCAGGAACCTAGGTATGTTAACAAAAAAAGAGGAAAAGAAATTGGTAAGTCATAGTGTGATGCTGTCCTTGGTCCTTAAGAATAGGTCAAGTTGCCTCTTGAAGGACTCCTGAGAAGTCGCTTGGACTAGCTCGGCCGGCAGCGAATTCCAGCTTTTGACAACTCTTAAGGAGTAGTTGTGTCTACATTCCGTCTTGCTATGTTGTGTTTCCAGTTTCTGGGTGTTACCCGTTAGGTTATTATTCGGACTAAGCTTAAGTAGGTGTTTAAGAGGATGTCCAGAAGTGTTAAGAATTCTATAAGCCATTAATAAATCACCTCGAAGACGCCTATACTCTAATGAGTAAAGGTCTAGTGAATGGAGGCCTTCTTCGTAAGGTTTAGATTTTAGTCCTCGAACCGATTTCGTGGCTCGCCGTTGGATACGCTCCAAAGTGACCTTGTCCTTTTGTAATGAGGGGGGGGAGTACTATGTTTCCGTACTCTAAATGGGGACGGATGAAACTGTTGAAGATTATGTGGAAGGTTCGTCCGTCAAACTGTCCGAAAATGCGCTTCAATTTTTCCAGTGCAAGGTTTGCTCGAAAGGCATTTTTTCACAGTTAGCGTAAGACTTTAAGTCATGGGGCACCAGGACTCCTAAATCTTTTTCGACTTGAGATATTACTAGAGAGGAGTTTCCTAAGTTGTAACTGTAGTTTGCGACATGTCGCAGATGGACTACTTTACACTTTGAAGTGTTAAAGGTAAGTCCGTTATCGTCTACCCAACTTTTAAGTCGAGTCAGATCCTCCTGAAGTGCCTGTATATCGTCTTGGTTGCGTATCTCTCTCCAAAGTTTCACGTCGTCGGCAAAAAGTAATAAGTCTGACGTTACCTGTTGAGGAAGACCATTTATGTAGATCAAGAAGAGAAGAGGCCCTAGTACTGAGCCCTGGGGGACCCCACTAGGACATTCCATAGCCTGAGATAAAGTGAAATTATTTCTGACCTTAAAGTGTCGATTTTTTAGGTGTGAAGTAAGCCAATCGATTAGAGGTGGTTTGATACCTAGTTGTTTGAGCTTATTGATAAGACACAGGTGGTTAACCTTATCAAAAGCTTTTGAGAAATCAAGGTAAATGACATCAACCTTTCCCTTGCAATCGAGGATGCTTGTCCATCTGTCCACCGCAGTCAGCAGGTTGGTTATACAAGAGTAGCCCTTCCTGAAACCATGCTGTTGGGGTAAAAAGAAATTTAAGGACAGTAGATAGTCGTTTAAACCGTCGCATATCAGGGACTCCATGAGCTTTGAAGGTAATGACAGAAGAGCCACCGGCCGATAACTTGAAGGTTCATTGCGTCGACCTCCTTTGAAAATTGGTGTGATGTGAGCCAACTTCCAATTTTCCGGTAA